AAAAAAGGTTGAGAATTTACAGGGTTAATATGTTGTGGGGTTGTTAACCAATGTCATAAAACAACATGAGTACTACTGTTTCATGAGAAATTATTTGTTCTGTAAGCCTTCACCTGAAGTGCAAAAAAGTATAAAAAAAAAAAAAAGAAAAACAAGAATTCTGGGGCATGGTTACAGAGTTTCCTGCTATTTTAAGACTTAGAAATATCATTCTGTGTTTTGGGTAGATCTCAGACTCAGGTATTAATGAGCAGTTCTGTAAACTTAATTTCTCTGACATAGGCAGTGAGAGGCAGTAACTTCATTAGTGTTTCTGACCAATCATGGGCTGAACTTTCACTCTGCTTGACGAAACTCTGGTTCTTTTTTTCATAATAGCAGATATCAACGATGAGGGCAGGGGTGTTTGAAGAGTTTAGTGAATGAAGTCTTAATTGCCAATTTATATACAAAGACTAGATCTGTAAGCTGATAACCTTTTGAATCTATTCAATAAAACAGCTACTCTAAATTTTATTTTATTAAAATGAACTCTCTGAAAGCAGCACTGTGTCCTATTTCTCTTTGTAACCCAGGATTTAAAACTGGGAGGGGCAAGGAGTAGGCATCCAAAACATGCTTGTGGAATGAATCAACAGAGTATAACTTGCAACTTCTTATCTGATATGTTCTGGTAAAATAATAATGTTGCTCTTTTAATTAACATTATCACAAAGAGCGTCTTCATGTTAGTACAGAAACTTTTTGGACCTCATTTTAATTTGTGGACTTTGTGTTATTCAACCATATGCCTTTGCAAATATTTACTTAACATTCTCTTGTTAAACAGATTATTTTCAAGTTTTTGCTATGATAAATGATACACTGATAAACATCTTTGTGCAATATTGTATTTTACACGTTCCATTTGATCTAAATTTTTCACGAATATTTAGTGACCTTCCTGCGGGGTGAGGTTTTGTTGTGATGTATGCTTTGTAGAGAAAGGAAAAGGCTACCTTATTGCTCAGGTTCACGTTAGCATTTCTGCTGAGGAGCAGCGACACCATGTCCACGTGTCCTTCCTGAGCTGCAAGATGGACAGAAGCAATTCCTTGCCGGGTAACTGCGTTTGCATCAGCACCATACTCCAGCAGGGTCGTCGCTATGTCCATCTGGTTCTTTTTGGCAGCGATGTGCAGTGGCGTATAACCATTCTGTCAACACAAATCACTTGGTCACATGCCCAGGAACAAGATAAAAATGTGTACAGTGCATTTTCAAACAGTATGGTCTCTTTCTAGCAATTTTTTTTGCTTAAAAAAATCATGATTAAGTAAGCAAATACTGATAAAGCAAGCAGTACCATTAATGTAATGCCCTCATGCCTCTGCATTCCTAAACAGGGAAAATATAATTTAACCTAGACTGTTTGATGTGAGAGAGTCAGAGTACCTATTGCTAATTGTATCACTGGTTTTCCAAAAGGAATAGATTTCCCTTTTACAGGGAAATATGTTAGTAGGTGCTCAACAATTACTTGCTTTATTTAAAGTGGGGATGGGAAGAACCCCTACTGGGAAACAACACACTATATGGTACTATTGGGGCATGGTGATCATTCTATCTTTAAAACCTTTTAATGGTCATCTATGGTTCCTGGGTTATGCAAATAGTTTCTATTCGTCTATTAACCTAAAGGTTGGTGGTTTGAACTCACCCAGCAGCACTGTGGAAGAAAGGCCTAGCAATCTGCTTCCATAAAGATTACACCAAGAAAACCCTATGGGGCAGTTCTACTCTGTAGCACATGGGGTCACCATGAGTAGGAATCAACTCAACAGCAAGGGGTTTTGTATTTTTTTAATGGCCATCTATTGCTGAAAGGTTAAAAATTTCAATTTTCACGGCAGGCAAGATGCTATAATCTGCTCCCATCTGTCCTTATGACTTCCTGTTTCACCAAACTCCTGTCTCTATGCTATGCTTCATCGGTCTTAGAAGAAGTACAATCAGCATGCTCCTTAGAAGTAAAGGATGGCAAAACTTTGGCTTGCTTACTGTGGACACATCCTCAGGAAAGGCCAATCACTAGAAAAGGACATCATGCTTGGTAAAGCAGAGGATCAGTAAAAATGAAGGAAACCTTCAGTGAGATGGATTGACACAATAGTCACATACCAGCAGTCATGAAGATGGCACCAGAATCAGGCAATGTTTCGTTCTGTTATACGGAAGGTCGCCATGAGTCAGAGCCAACTTGACAGCAACTAATAACAACAATGCTATACTTCAGCAGGACTAGGCTTCCTGCAAGTCTCCTAAACAACATACAGCCTCATGTTTATCCGTTTTGGCTGTTCTACCAAGAATGCTTCTCCCCAACATACCCACTGGGCCAGCATCGATCTATCTATTATTTGAAGAATCAGCAGGGTCAGGCCCTACGTGAAGTGTTTCATCTCCCCTTCCCTCCCAAGTCCATCCAACTAACTCTACTCAGAGTACTGGACGTGTCTGCTTATATGTCTGTTTTCTATTACTAAAATAGAAACTTATTGAGGGCATGTATTTATCTTTCTATGTCTAGTGCCTCATTAAGAACTGGCAAATATTTATCAAATAAAGAAAGGAATTCTTAGAGTTTCAATCAAACTTACTAGAACTTCAGAACATTCTGGCATCCTTCTCTTGGCTGATCCCTGATGCTCAGAGGTAGAGCAACCTCAACGAAAACTCCTTTGACAAACTATTAATTAGCTATGCCTCCGGAGATATCAGAGTCTCCTGTCCTGAGAAAAGGCTTTGGGGACCTTGCCCTGGTTCACAGTCATTTAAGGGAAATGCAAGATTATATTTTGACACAGACATGAATCTGACTAAAGTATGCCAAGGGCAAATGAGAATGATTTTTTTTTTTTTTAATAGACAAGAGGATTTAAAGAAAGAGGATTTTGAGGATTTACATTTAGGGATACGATCAAAATCTAGACAATAAGTCTGGATCAAGTCAAAGTCTTTCCAAGCAATGAGGACAGTTTGAAAACAACCCAGAGGGCTCTGGGGGCCACTGCACCCACAGAACAGCCAGCCCGCCACAATTAACCCTCGTAGTTCAAGTCACTGGCATCTCCGAGTCTGACAGCATTTCTCACTTGAAAAACCACTCTGTAATTGACTGAGGGGGATTTAGGCTGTTGAGTATCAACCCGTGAAAGTGGAAATGTCACTTCCAGACTCTTCTGAAACCAGCCTCTGTAACTGCATGAGCCTGGGTAGAAGATTTTATATCCCTATTTTTAGTCTCAACCTATTGCCATCTGGAAACCCCAGCTGTCCTGGGAAGCACTTGGCCCTTTGCCCAGACACACCCTTCAGAGACCAATGCCTTTGGAGCTGAACGCGGAGCTTTGGACGGTGCCCAACTCCACAGTGAATGAGGGGAGGGGGTGAACTGTTTTACCCTCCCGGCCCCACATAAGAAAGAAAATTCTCAAAGCAACACCAAAACAGAAAATCAAATTAATCATATGTCTAACATTAGTTAATTTGAGCAGTAAAGGCAAGATATAGTCAGGAATTAGCTTCTTATTATGCATCTTATCTTTTTTTGCTTTTACTACTGATAAAACCTTCAAGGTGGTTACTTTACAAACCAAGGTTAAGGTAGGTCAGTATCCTCTCAGACACAACAAAATCCAAAAAACCCATTGCCATCGAGTCAATTCTGACTCACAGCAACCCTGCAGGGCAGAGTAGAACTGCCCCATAGGGTTTCCAAGGCTGTAATCCTTAGGAAGCCAACTGTCACATCTTTCTCCTATGGAACAGCTGGTGGATTTGAACCGCCAACTTTCAATTAGCAGCTGAGTGCTTAACCACTGTGCCACCAGAGCTCCTTTAGACACAACAAGCCTCTTGATTACTTCTAATTCCTCCCAAAAGTCCTAGGCCCTAAAAAAACACTCATAAGGAGAAACTTTGGCATCTTCTATAGTGCATGCCAATTCCAGACAAGCTACTAATTATTGTTTAGGGGTTTATCCTGAGCTCCTAATCTGAGATACAGAATACAGTATGAAGCAAGGGAAAAACAACTCATAGTATTCTTTTAGACTGAAAAATTAATCTCAGAAATACTTAGGCTATATATTCAAATAATAACTAGCTTATCTTGAGGCCTATAATGGAATTTTCTACATTTTCTATGGTCTTTCTAATTTCTGGAAAGTGAAATGATCTTTACTTGCCAAATGAAAGGAGACAGATGCATTTATCAGAAGAAAAACAAAATAGTGTAAGACTCAACTGTATAGTAATCTTAATATAACATAATCTAACATAACATAACAACATAACATAGAGGACTAAGTGTTTGCCATGTGTGCTTGCATTTCAAGATGAAAATAAAAGCAAATGTAATTTTAAATAATCAAAAATAATATGTAGTATTTACATCGCTGTTGTTGGGTGTTGTTGAGTCAATTTTGACTCATACGGACCCCATGTGACAGAGTAGAACTGCCCCATAGGGTGTTCTTGGCTGTAATCTTTATGGAAGTAAATTGGCAGGTCTTCTTCCTGCAGAGCTGGTTCAAATCACCAACCTCTCAGTTAGCAGCCAAGCGCTTAACTATTGGGCCACCAGGGCTCCTTATTTACATCATAATTTATATGTTTTCCAAGTACCTTCACAACCTTCTCTACCGATCCATATCAGTAGATATGTTGCACATTTTTATGGAAGAGAAATCTGACAAATAATAAGGTTCCCTATCCCTTCCACAGATCCCTGGGTGGCTCAGAAGGCTTGTGCTCAACTACTAATTGAAAGGTTGGTGGTTTGAACCCACCTAAGTTGCACTGTGGAAGAAAGGCCTGGCGATCTGCTTCTCTAAAAATGACACCCAAGAAAACCCTATGGTGCTCTTTTTACTCTGTAACACATGAGGTCATCATGAGTCAGAATCAACTTGACAGCAAAACGTTTGGTTTAATTTGGATTCCTTCCACACTTAGTGCCCAGGTTATGCCTGAACTCAAGGCAATGCTCAATTCAAGCACAGTGTCCTGCTGGCAATAGCTCTGGCTAATATGGCAGCTCATCCACTTTTTCAGCACCCTCCCAACCTAAAATAACAACATGTTTCTAGAAGGGCATGTATAAGTAAAAAAATATATTGCCAATTCTAAAAGAGTTAAGGAAGGGACAGAAGAAAACATCACACACTCTAAGAAAAAGAACACAGGCTGTGATTTGAGGAGGAGTTAACACTGATGTCACATCCATATGCTAATCCTGCCCCACTGAGGCTTTGTCCCTGATTTCTCACCACTGCCGGAATTCAGAAATGCCTGAGCTTCCCTGGAGTGGAGGAGGATATTTGCCTACCCTATATCTGTTCTCCCTTGTCATGGATTGAATTGTGTCCCCCCAAGAATGTGTGTAGCAACTTGGCTAGGTCATGATTCCCAGTATTTTATGATTGTGTAATCTGATGTGATTTCCTTGTGTGTTGTAAACTCTATCACTATGATGATGTTATACGTGATGTCCTTATGTGCTGTAAATTCTATCACTGTGATGAGGTTATACTGATGAGGTTGACAAGATTGGATTGTGTCTTAATCCAATCTCGTTTGAGATATAAAAGAGAGAAGCGAGCAGAGATACTTGGGAACCTCACGCCACCAAGAAAGCAGTGCTGGGAGCAGAGCGCATCCTTTGGATCTGAGGTTCCTGTGCTGAGATGCTCCCAGACCAAGGGAAGATGGATGACAAGGAGCCTCCTCCAGAGCTGAGAGAGAGAGAAAGCCTTCCCCTGGAGCTGACGCTCTGAATGTGAACTTCTAGCCTACTAGGCTGTGAGAAAATAAACTTCTCTTTGTTAAAGCTATCCACTTGTGGTGTTTCTGTTATAGCAGCACTAGATGACTAAGACAGGAAGGAAAGGCCAAGAACATCACAGGGAACTTGCCTCAACATCACGGAGACACTAAACCAACATCACCCACTGCCTACCTCCTGACTGCTTATGACATGAGAAAAACAGAGCCACATCTTTTCTAGCAGCTGAACCCAATCCCTACCGGATGTAACTGGCTTTGCTCAGAATCAAATTCTAGAAAAGTCCCTGAACAGGATGACTGCCACAGAAGATGGGAATGGTTTGACATGTGGCAGAGATGGCATCACAGAGGCTTTTATGCAGGCACTTGTGCTATGAGAATGAGAATTAACGTCTGTTAGAAAAGCCTTTTTTAATTGACTGTAAAAGATATGTCTAAGACTAAAGAGATGTTATAACTAATGAATGTCTTACATGTCTGCTTTTCAGCTCTTTGTCAAAGGTGTTTTTTTCAGATATGGAACCTTGAATACTAAGTCTAGTTTGATGACGATAAAGCTGGAAATCAATGTTAAAGGCACCAACTGTTGACCTGTTCAAGAGTTATTTGCGGGTGGAAAGGTAGATTGGACTCATTTTGTTGCACTTATTACTTTATAACTCCTGTCAACTCTAAACTGCTTGGCACCAGCTATGACAAAATTATTACTCTCATGCGAAGAAGGAAGAGTTCACTTATTAATTATTTACTGGTAGGCTAAAGAACCTGGTGTTATTTCTAATATAAGAAAGGTGGTCCTAGCGCAAAGGGGTATTAAAATACACCAAAATAAAAAGGACAGCCATTATATTTCATTATTAAATTTTCTCATTTTTAAAAATAGAGTGTTTATCAAAGGTCAATGCACAGTTTTATGACAGAAAGTATGTTTGTCAAGGTCAAAAAGTGGCAGTTAGATGAAAAGCTGGTTTGGGGGTTTGATTTTGAATTGTAGATTTAACTGGGTATATTCTGGAGAGTACGGGCCAAGAAATGATTGAGAAATGCAGGGAAGGAGGCTCTGAGGAGAAATGCCTGTCAAAGACATCATATTCTCTAAATGGAGAAAGTACGTGAAAACGTTCTCTCTTAAAGTATCTAAAGTAACCTAGAAGCGCCCAAGTTCACTGACCTGTGTGTACAAGACATTTGGTCTTAATACCAAGTTTAAAGAAGAGAACTGAAGCTGCCCTAAAATGGAATAGTGAAACAAACATGGAAACAGCATTGGCATGTTAAAAGATCCTCTTCCAACAGTATTTAGTACATGAATTTGATAACCTTTAAATCATGGTTTCTATCATTCCTGTATTCTCTGACCATAGGCTCCTGATCAATAACAGAGAATCTGTTAAAACCTGTCTTTAGTGGGGATTGCAACCAATGTCACAAAACAATAAAAAATAAACACAAATAAACAAATAAAAAGCTAAACGAATAAGTCTCCAGGCAGAAACTTCATGCCAGTGTACTTAATTTTGAGAACTTTAAAAACAAACATACAAAACCAAAACAAACCTGTCTTTAAATAAACTCTTCTTTATGACCTGTCTATCAGTTCAGAATACCAGAGTAATAAAGATGGTGCATACTCCATGCATCTCTTTTCTGAGAAATCTAGGTTGTCTACTGGTCAAAAATGCTCTAACAATAAGAATAAAGATTATCCTTAGCAATAACAAAAATACATAGGCAAAACCTCCCAACCTAGTCCATAAACACCAATAAGCAATGTGAAGGCAATATTCTATGGCCAGGAAAATGTACACACATTTTATGACTTTGAAAAATCCAAACTTTCTTACTCCCTCAGGCTGTGTTCATGTTTTTAATCTGGCTAAAGAGTTCTCCAACTTCTTCCCATCCCCAGGCTCCAAGATGTCCTGGATTTTCAAGAAAAATCAATTGAGAAGTAACTACTTATTGAGCATCTACTACACTAGTCGGCTAAACAGCCGAAGGCACAAGCTTCCGAAGAAGCTCATGCTTCTGTGATTTTAAGTGACACCTAAGCTAGGAGGGCATTGCAGACAAAGAAATACCACATAGATGTATGTACAGAGACCGACAGACACAACCCATCGGTCTCCTCATGCTGTTGAATTACAGGTACCTTTGCAGCCGCATGAGGTGAGGCTCCTTGGTCCAAAAGCAGAAGGGCCACTTTCTGATTATCGTAATGTGCAGCAACATGCAGTGCAGTTAGCCCGCTCTGAAAACATGTGCAGAAACAACAACAGTGTCACAAGTGCTTTAATATCAGAGGAATAGATGTAGGCAAATGGATTAGATTGGATGCAACACAGAGCATAATTTACACTACAGTTTCCACAATAGTTGAACCCCAACATTCACCTCCTATTTCCCAAGTCATCTGCATCCCAGAGAGACTTAAATAAAGCTTAGTTATCATTTGAATGGTGGTTGGTGAATATTATAAAGTGCTTGTTCGGTTATCACGGAGGTTACAGGGTGGCCCATGACCTCATACCTTCCCAGCAGCATCCGGAGATGCACTTTTCTGTAGCAGGAGATTGGCTACTTCAAGTTTCCCATATTTTGCTGCCACATGAAGGGGAGTAAATCCTTTCTGAAAAAAGAAACATAATACAATGAACAACAGAAGTGGCATAAGGACAGCACTTTTCTGGAAGTGAAGAATCATTCTAATCCTGAAGGACAGTTAAGCCTGTACTTAAGAACCAAGACTGGTAGATAAAGAGTTGTATCCCCTTATCGAGAGGGATGAGCAGGACATGCCAGGATCTCTAATCTTTCTTTCTCTGCTGACTGAGCTGCAACACGCCATTAATTCTGGGACTTCTCAGGCACTTGACCAAGACGAGGTTGGGTGGCTGGATCTGGGGCATATTTCAGGGCCATTTTGGGGTTTCATGTTGTGGAAAGACTAGGCTACAAGGTCCCAGGCCCAATCTGGAGAGCCTCTAGAAGGGAATGTTTGAGAAAGTCAAGGACAAATCAGGACCTCCTGGAATCTCTCATCACTGAGACTGGGCCCTTTCTCTTCCTGTTTATTTTTCCATGTACACACACATCCTTATGCATGCTCTAGTCTCCAGGAGTGGGAGCCAGAGTGTCTCTCACCTTTCTACCACAGGTGAACTGAATAACGACACGTGGTTCTAGCTCAATAAATATGGGAGAATTAGATGCTGTGAGTTGAGTAGCAGCTGCCCCTTCCTTCTGCCTCCTACAAGCACCTTGGTATAAACTGGTCAGTCAGCATGAGCTGTTAGGCAGGGTCCCGAGCATAAGTCAGGGACTGGAGAGTCATCAATACACAATCTCATGACACTATAACAAGGCAGAAGCAATGGGCAGCTGGCAAGGTAAAGGTCTTGGGCACCCTGAACTCCATTATCCATTATTCTGTTTCACACTTTGAAAAACAGCTAGGAATTTGCATTTCAACTATACTGAAGAGCCTAAAGGATCACAGAAGATGAAGTCTGAGGTAGTCATCATTTACCTGGATTGTTCTCCAGGTACTTATAATTATCTTCTGCATTGATGACACATCAGTGATTCTTATCTATATCCTAATATGATAGCACAATACCAATTTCTGGATTTCTAAGACATGTCGTAGGCCATTTCATTTTGCTGTCATACTTGCTAGGTTCACATAGTATCACAAGAAAAATGAACTCCAAAGTCTGCATTCTGCACATGCAGAGCAACTGTGCGGTAGGGCATGACTCCAAGGCATCAGAGTCAAGATAAAAAATCAAAACATAAATTGGACAAGACAACAACAACAAACAAAAACAATTCATGGAAAAATTCACCTCCTGATTTGAAAGTATTATAAACATATCTTCTCAACTGAGTATAATGGGGTTCATATACTTGGCATCAGCACAAGAAATCGATAGCTGTGTTTTTAAACCACTATTTCAGTCTATCAAATAACTTGCAAGAAATCTCTGATTCTAGATGTCAATAAGGCTTCATTAGAAGATAGTGCACTGAGAAACTCAAGACCAAAAAAAAGCAAAAACCCACAAAATACAAACAACTATCCTCCCCTGCCTCAGGAGCATCTAGGTGTCTAGCCATGTTAATGACTACCCTGGAGTCCCAAGTATAGATGCTTCTGTACCTATTACTGTGCTGGGAGTTGTAAGAAGGATGTATTTTGGGGGACACAGCAGGATTCCGAAACTTGCTTTCATACCTTTGTAGTTATAGATAGAGATGCGCCATGATCCAAAAGGAAGGCGGCTACGTCCTCGTGCCCCTCTCGGGCTGCAAGATGAAGTGGGGTGTACCCAGAAGTCGTGGCTGCATTTGGGGAAGCTCCTTGCTGCAGCAGCTGTTGTACTATGTCTGCCTTCCCCAGTCTGGCTGAAATGTGGAGTGGGGTTTGGTCATCCTAAACAGCAAGGTAGAAATGCAAACTTGATGAACTGACAACACAATAGCACCACTGTAAAAATTTAGAGAATTTTAGCTGCTTGGGATCAGAGGCTACAATCAACTCTTCGATTCAGTGCTAAAAAGAATCTCATTTAGCTTTCTCTTTAAGGTTAAGAAAGGTGGAGATGGTAGATCTAAGCTCTTTAAATACCCTTGGCCTACCTATCAGTATGAGAACTGAGAAAGGAGGTTCCTTCTGTAAATTGTCCCCATTACTACCTGCCATAATTAAATTTTTAACTTCTAAAGATTCCTTTTTTGGTAGTCAAGGGAATATATCCTGGTAAAATGCAAATACCTGGGAGGGTTATTATACCTCTGCCAGTTACTAGGCACTCATATGGTATGAATTGTTTTATTGGCTCTGCCTTCTCAGATCACAAAAGAGGGGCAGCCTAGGGTTGTGCAGATGTACCGTGCACAAAGGCTTCCAGCCAAGAGGGCTAACAGGTGGTGAAAGCATCTTCCAAGAGAGTATAGGGGTGTCTTATTAAAATTCACCCCAAATCCTGAGGTACTCACCAAGTCCTGTACCCTTAGGACCTTATCCCCAAATGGGAGGGGCACCTTTTCCTAATTTGCCCAAAGGTGTCCTATGGGCTAGTGGTGGTTCTCCAGAAAGAAATCCCCTACAGGAATTTGACAGTTCAGGTAAATCCATTAAGAAGGGGAGGTTGAGAGAAGAGGCTGGAGTACAGGAAGAGTAGGTAGGATGGGGTCAAGTTCAAAGCTAGAAGATCCAGGTAACCAATGGAAAGAAAAAGAGGAGAGTCAGGGGGACGTGCCATGAGAGAATAGAAATATTGGAATCATAAAAAGAGAGATGACAAAGAAAAATCTGGTGTATCTCTATCACCAGGAGCAGCAGCAGCAGCACACATTTTCTAAGCACTTGCAATGTCCCAGGCTCTATACTAAGTACTCCATCTGTATTAACTCACGAATCCTCAAGACAATTCTATGAATTACAACTATCATTATCCCCATTTTCTAGATGAAGAAATACATAAGGAAACGTGACACAAAGATGTTAATTAACTTGCCTAATGCTACACAGCTAGTAAATGGTGGGCCAAGATTCAAACCCAGGCAATCTGGCTGAGGAGGTCAGCCTCTTAGCCATCATGATACACACTGGCTCTTTAATAAATGATCATTATAACTCCCATCCTCAATTCCAGCTTGTGGGTGGAAAACCATTGCCTATGTTTAATGCTTCCTATATAACTAGCAACCCTCGTTAACTGTGAGGTTTCTTGAGATCCAATGTAGATAGAATACAGTCTCTCTTAATCGTCCACTTTCTAGAAGTTTTATGTATAAGTCATTCTCCCGAGAGTAGGAAGACCTCTGGGCCAAACCGAGGTTCTGGTTCCTAATCTTTTAGGAATTAACAAATGTGCCAAGAACAACTTCTGGCACAAAGTTCTTGTTCTTTTTAATTTTGTTGAACGACTGAATGAAGGAACCATTCTCTTTCTAGCATTAGTACCAGGAAAGACTATTTCAGCTGAGAAGCTGGTCTGTTTCTATCTTTTGGACATGCTGATTTGGCTGCCAGAAGAGACTTATTGGAGGCCTAACCTCAGGGTGCGGGACAGGAAGGGTTTTTGCAAAATTTTACTTGGGTAGAAACTTTATAGTCATTGGAGCTTGTTCACTACTTTAAGAAAGTATTCTCGAAAAAGAACATGTACATGTTTAAAGGTTTGATGAAAATCAAAAGTCCCCCCTTCCTCAACAGCAAAGGTTTTCACGTATTGCACATACCTTAGCTTTAGCTTCTACCTGAGCTCCATCTTGTACCAGATACCGCACAACTTCAGCTTGGCCCGATCGAGCTGCCATGTGCAGCGCTGTTTCTCCTCTCTAGGGAACACAAGCCACAGTAAATTAACTGCATTTCTGAAGTAAAGTGGCATATTTTATTTGAATAAAGCCTATGATGTGGGTTATTACTATTTTTTTTTAAAATAAAAAACCATTCCAAGGCATTCTGAACTGGAAAGATAGGAAATAAGATACATAATAGTTTCACCTGAGAACACTACAGAGAGTCCCTGATGGAGCAGGAGAAAAGTGAGGTGCAGAACTCAAATTCTAGTAAAAAGACCAGACTTAATGGTCTGAATGAGACTAGAGGAACCCCAAAGAGCATGGCCCCTGGACTTTCTGTCAACCCAGAACTAAAACCATTCCCAAGGCCACCTCTTCAGACAAAGATTAGACCGGACTATGGGACATAAAATGATACTCATGAAGAGAGTGCTTCTTAGCTCAAGTAGATACATGAGCCTAAATGGGTAGCTCCCGTCCAGAAGTGAGATGAGAAGGTAGAGAGGGTCAGGAGCTGGTTGAATGGACACGGGAAGTCAGGGGTAGAAAGGAGGAATGTGCTGTTACAGTATAGGGAGAGGAATTAGGGTCACATAACAATGTATGTATAAATTTTTGTATGGGAGACTGACTTGAATTGTAAACTTTCACTTAAAGTACAATAAAATAAACAAACAAAAAAAAAGAATTTCACCTTAGACCAATCCATGATGCCAAGGATTTGGTGTAACCCAAGGAAGCCTAGTCACCAACAGTATCAGAAACATAGTTCAATAATCCACAGTGTGTCCTCATTAGGAGTGAAAAGGTGAATGCTTACAGGGGCGTAGCCTGAGGCAGGCAGGTAGGGAGTGCTCAACAGGAGAGCTCCATGCCCTGTAGAATGGGGGAGTTGCTACCTGGCCCCTGCAGGCTGCCATTGTAGCTGAGCAGGAATGCCAGCCCCATGATGCCACACCTTCCCATTGTTAAAAAGAAGTGGCAGTCTGGATCTAGGTATAAAGTTCCCAAATTTTAAATGTGGACCACAAAGCCAAAACTAAAAACAAAACACTGCACGAGTCACAGAAACACAGCTGAGGGCCAGACTCGGCTTGCCGCTGCTGGTTTGCATTCCTTTCTTTATCTAAACAGATCAGTATCCTAGTCTTTGGGATCAAGGTGTCATTTTCTTTGCCACTGGACATCCCCTCCCCCATCCTTTTCAATAAATAGTGTTTATTTCAGAACATTCATTTACTTATTTTAATGAAAATACCATATAGAAAACATGGGTAGATTGACAAGGTAAAAAGAAGTAATAAGAATCATATATATTCTCTCACACCAGCAATAAGCATCTTTAAATTGCTTTTATGAAATGAGCTTTGCTTTCGAGACCGTCTACCTCCGGGGAACGACAAAGGAGGCCACATTTACATGACACTTGTTATTGGGTTTAGTGGCAAGAGTTGAGGATGTTGTTCAGCTATACCCCAATGTTTTCTTTGTGAAGGAACCATTCTCTTTCCGGCATTAGTACCAGGAAAGACTATTTCAGCTGAGAAGCTGGTCTGTTTCTATCTTTTGGGAGTGCTGATTTGGCTGCCAGAAGAGTCATCTAGGGTGAGGGGCAGGACCTTACGGCTCGCCTTTTCTGTTCTGAATGTTGCTTATTTTATTTTTACTTCTTTAGTGCTCATGAGTCCAATGAACGTTCTTATGCTTGTGGTCCAGTATGCTAATGTTATTATGGTATCAAATTTAAAATCCTATAAAACAATGTCAAATGCCATATGCCAATCTAGGGCAATAATTTACTGTTCTGTGTTCTGAAGCATCTTGTGGTTCTGACAGAGCAAAGCTAAATGTGGGAAGACACCACCATCTGATAATCTATGAATGCAGTCACATGAGTTTCCTATAACATGGTCAAGCAAACTAAAGAAAAATTACTTTGAAGTTACTTGAAATCATTTCTTTACGCAAATAGTGCCAGCATTTGAACCACCTTTCCAACATGCAGCACTTCTTACTACTTCTGTTTTAGGAAGTCCCCCTAGACAAACACTTTACTTTTCAAAGCATAATATCCACTAGTAATGTACCTGTAAGGTTAATGGACACCATCAATAAGTTCTAACAATTTGTGGCCAACTAGCGACTCAACAGATCCTACCTTAGCAGTAAAGGAAACCACAAGTAGTCTCAAATTCTGTCCTTTTTAGTCAAATAAAATAGTAATCAATTTAAGTACAATTAAAAACAAGTTAATAAAAGCAACCTTTGTCAGTTTCTTAATAACTCAGAATTGGACCTTCTTTGTTAAAAGGATACTCACCACGTTGGTGGTGTTTGGTGAGGCTCCATGATGCATTAGTTGTGATACGATACTTACATGCCCCATGAAGGCAGCAACATGGATAGGGGTAAGGCCCGACTGGAGGGAAAACAGGGAAATGTTGGTTTATTGGGTTATCATGAAAAGGGTCTGTCTGCCTGTTGTCCATCTGTCCACGCACCGACCCACCCACTCATCCATCCATTTATCCACCTTCACATAACAAGTTTGATGATCAGATCAGGAGACGGCAGGACATTCATCATTATAACACAAATTCAATAAGGCAGATATCTCAATATATAATCATTTCCCTCAAGCTAGATCTGTGATTACGAAAAGACCTAAGTCATATCTGGAATTCCTGGGTGGCACAAATGGTTAAACACTCGACTACTAGCTGAAAGGCAGGCAGTTCGAATCCACCCAGAGGCACCTCAGAAGACAGGCCTGGCAATCTGCTTCTGAAAGGTCACAGCCTTGAAAACTCTGTACAGATGGGGTCGCCATGAGTTGGAATCAACTCAACAGCAACCAACGACAACATCATATCCGTTAAGGAAGAAAGACGATTATTTCATACATTTTATATAGATTTGTGAAAGAAATTTAGAAAGAAATAACTTGGAGGTGTTTTTTTTTCCCCTTTGCTACAAAATCTTCCTTATCTGTGTGTGTGTTGGGGGTGGTGTGTGGTTACAGACATATTTGTAAAAATTCGACTTTTATTTCAGGTCCTATTCAGGACTTTAAAAAAGACTTTGGTGCACTCAGAATAAACTCATTATGTGGCATGTGAAACAACAGGGTACCTAACACAAAGCCATTCATATAATAAATGAACGGAACAGCATTAATAGTTTCAATCATGTAATTTTTTAAATTTATAAATATTATAAATGAAGGGAATATAATTAAGGCAAATATTACAGTGACCACAAGACCACTTTTATGTTTGCTTCAAATCCTACATACACACACATATACACACATACACCCCATAATACTATTTAGCGTAAAACAAAGTTCGTCGATACCAGGGTATTTTATATCTATGGTGCCCCTGATTGTGAGATTTGAGTAGATAAATAAAAAAGATGATCAAAGTCTCGAGTCAATAATCTTGTTAAGGAGTGTGATTCACATGTGCCTTTTATATGTTTAATTTCTCAGAATTTAATTCCGCTTACAATGTGAACATCATAATTTGGCAAAAAAAAAATTACTATGGCTAGAAAAAGCTAACTGGAATTTGAGAAATATCAAAAAATTATTTAAATGTGATTTCATACAAAAAAAAGTAGGTAAAAAGACAGAAGAGGGAAAACTCTGGCTGTCCAGACTTCAAATGACAAGAAGAATTGAGTAAAGTAAGGAAAAAGAGAATTTTGTTATAATTTGGTATCTTTTTCTATCAGCAGGGGGAGTTGTTAAAACGCATGCGAGGCAAAGCCATCATCTTGGTCTGCACTGACTTACAAAGCTCTTAGCCTATAGCTGGCAACAGAACCTTCTTATCACTGTCCAGCGTCTCTACATTTATTTAAACATCCATCAAAAGTCTACTTTTATTCAGAGTCTATTCTGATCTTTAAAAAGGGTTCCCATGTATTGAGAATAAACTTACTATTTTATAACTGAAATAAAGAGGTGCCTAACACAAGGACATACGTCTGATAAACAGCAAGTCAGTATTAATATTTTAAATCATTTACTATTTTTAGATTTCTGAGTATTATAAATCAGGACAAATATTCCATTTGCAGATAAAAAACTGAAGCAAATCAACAAGCACTAAAGTGTACCTTAATTTTTTTTTGTTTGGTTCAAATATAGTCTTTGTCATGCATTCAATAAACCTTTACTGAAGGATCTAGTATGAGGCAGGCATTGTGGGTATAAACACCAGTAAGATTCAGCCCTGCCTTCAAGGAGTCTGCATTTTCTGGGGGGCAGTGGGAATAGCAGGGTCATAAGTAAGACGACTAGATAAATGCTTTGATAGAAAAGTCCACAGGATGTGGTGATGGTCTCTAAGAAGAGCATGAAATCCAAGCCAGAGAGGGTGGAGAAGGTAGGGAGGAAGGTGGCCTTAGAGCTGGTCCTTAAGTGTGTGCAGGATTAGCATGGCCATGGGGGTGTGAGTGGGGAGCAAGACCCGTGAAGGATGCAGAGAGATATGGATGTGAATGAAAGGGTGTCCAGTGTATTGAAGTGCCAATGGCTAGACTCTATGCAGCCCAGAAGCCCAGAGCGCTGGGAGGCAAGGGTAGGGGTGGAGTGGGAGGTGGAGTTAGAGGAGGTGGGAGATGAGTCTGGAGGGGAAGATGGATCCAGGCCTGCTTTCCTCTGTTGAAGGCTCAGCCCTCATTCTGATGGATAATTTCCCTGAGCTCTGGTTGGTTCTGTGAAAGAAACAGGTTTTTACTGACTTCAGCAACCTCTGTGTTTCTTTAATTATGTGTTTTAATGCAGAGCAATCCTTACAAACATACGTTATGCCAGGTTTCTCAGCACTTTTAACATTTTCAGCAGATAACTGTGGTGTGGGTGACTCTCCTGTGCATTGTAGGATGTTTAGCAGGATCCCTGGCCTCTGTCCACTAGATGCCAGTAGTACCCTCCAGTTGTGACAACTGACAATACCTCCTGAAATTGTCAAATGTCTCCTGAAGGGCAAAATCACCCCCAGTTGAGGACCACTGTGCTATGGGATTTCAAATAAATTATGGTTTCGATGAAGGCACCACTCACCCTTGAGCATGAAGCACGTTTTCGGTTATGTTTCTAGTCATGGTGATGGATCTGCCCTCACCTACCCACACTCTTGTCTGCTGCTCCTAAGGACCAGTAGCCCCACTGGTAAAGGTTCAGAAAGCCTTCTGCAACAATCATGTGCAGAGTAAAACTAACTGTCCTGGGAGATGGCACAGGGACCCTGGTTGCTGAGACTGTACTCTCAGAACCTCTGCAAACCCTACTCCTCTTACCTCGGTTACAGCTTGGATGGATGCACCGTGTTTCAGAAGAAGTTCCATTACTTTAATTCGATTCTTCTTGCAGGCAATATGAAGAGGGGTAAAGCCATTCTGCAACGAACAAACGCACATATTTGCTTGACTATTTTCCACTGAAATCCAATTCCACTGCGTGTGGTAAAAATTTTTGCTAAAATGATGTGCTGTGGAGACTTAGAAAGGAGCAGAAACAATGAGGGTGTTAAACAGAATGTACTCTTTCCTGGAAGCAGAGGTAGTCTAGCTCATCCTAGGAGCCCAAGGTGCACTGGTAATCATGAACAGGTAGTAAATTTTTGTCACACTCTCCTGGTAGTTAAGGCAAAATGATCATGCATTTCCTTAGATTTTTTATTCTGGAATTAACTTTCCCTTCCTCTGCCTCATTTCCAACACAGACTATAAGCAACTGGGTCCAAACGTGTTCTCACAGTGAAAACATCACCAACGCCTATTTTGTAGAACATTTTAATGTCTTCTCTAGCTCTAAGATTAAAGTAGGTGCTTACTTCAAGGAAGCAAAAAGTTAAACAACACAAATGCTACTTGGATCATTGGGCTTAATATTTAGTCTAATAAAATAACCTGCTTTTTACCATCACCAACCAAATTGTACAGCCTTATAATTGAGACTGTGCCCATATATCAGCCAACAATGGATAATCATAAAGAACTAGGATCCACTGTAAAAGCTCAGGTCAAAGTCACTAACGGTGCTTCCACATTGGTTCTCAAGACCTTTTACCTGGCCAGAGTCCATCTCAGTATGACTGGCTACAACCTCCATGTTGTAAAATCTTCCATCAGAGGAAAATAAGAAAGAGTCCACACCCTGTTTTAAGACTCTTTTTTTCTTGGATGGAAAAATGAGTCGTGATTGCTAATTTCTTTTCCTCCATTCTCAGAATTCAAAGATCTGTTTGATATACTGGGCAGATCAACAGCTCTTGAAATGCTGCTCTGGTGAAAGCTTTTAGAATTATAATGGCAGTGAAGGTGGCTGAGATATAGAGAGTTCTATTCTGAATTTTGGAGCCTGCAGAACACAGAGGCACCTTGGATTCAGTCAGACAGGGCTAATGCACCATTTGTAAATGAGCAGAGCCCCATGCTAAAAGGGGTGATTGGATGACAGTCTTTAACTCAAAATTGCTAGTGAACTCACTTGTTTTCTCTAAAATCTGGTGCCTTCTTCTTTCCTAAATATAAGTCACGAATGCTTATTCTGAACTAAATTTAACAACTTCCTAAGTCGGGACCATTTATTTTTCCAAAGATGAACACAAATGGAAAACAAACAACTCTCTCCCCAATTTCCCTTCTTGCCTCATAAAATTCTCCTGTTTCTAGTTCTATGGTTGCTTTCTATCGTCATTATGGGATGGATTTCTCTTTTTCCTCTGCCTTCTTTCCATGCTCCTACCTTCTAGACACCTCCATATAAAATCAGAAAATCCCTTCCACAGTTTCATGATTTTTGATGCTTTGCAATTTATTCTCTCATTAAATGGGAAGCACATAAAATATACACTTAGATCCATAAAGTGTACACATAACTCAGGTTATGGAATGTCTAAAAAGCAGCGGAAGACAAATCTATAAGCTCTGACCATGTTTGGCTGAATGGCAGACTTTTCAGAGCAAGCGAGCTGCTGCTCTTCTCCTTCTCTTTCTCTCTCAATTTCTTATTCCGTTATCATCTCTATTTCCTTCACTAGGAAAAGGTAAATAAAAATGGACTCTCTCTTACTGATTACAGCGGAATCACTATCTACTGTACTCCAGCCTGACCCCACTTACATATTTTTAAATGAAGGGAACAATTGCCTGGGACAGGATGTGAACAGTTGCTTGGGATTGAGTCATGGAGGGAGTTGGGCAGCCCATCAGTATTTGGTGAGTAGTAGAAAAGTTAAATTCATTTTGATGGTAAATAAAACCATAATAAACCTGATAGGTGAGTATGATTAACTAAATGTATCAATTATATATTCATTCCTTCATCCTAAAACAAGATAATGAAGTTTTATTCAAATAGTCTGATATGGGAAAATTATTATTCCTGGAAGTTCTATTGTACTTTATTTTAAAATAACAATTTTGTGGTAAAATGGGTATTGGCATGAGTTTATTGCTGAGAAATCCAAAGTATAGTGGAGCTGAGGGACTTTTTCTAGGTTAAAGGAGCAAATCATTTGAGGAGTTAAGAGCAGAAACTAGATGCAAATTTGATTTGGATCAGTAGGAAAAAGGATGACAGACAATATTTCATTAACTTACATGATTACCAGTATGAAATTTCAGCTCACAAATTCTTAGACCTCTTATGCTTAAAAGTCTTTGATCATTTTGCCTCATGTTTCTGGATCTCAGAAAAAAACTTTTCATTTACATAATTATAACTTTACCTATAATAAGATGAGGTTGACCACTTTGGTCTTCTTCTAACTGTATAGTCTTTGTGTTTCTTATATAAGAGACTCACTAGTGTGACCACAGTTAACGATTTACCTAAATCAGCCTGTACACATCAATAATAGGTCTTATAGATTTCCAGAGGATATTTGAAAAAATTGACAAAAGTTATACTTTATTTAACTAGCATCTTGCATTTTTACCTACTCAAAAGCAATCCCTTCACACACACAGGTAGCATGTGGTCAGCAAGACAATTCAGGCTGGACTTATGGCTGAGCCACTCACCAGGGCTTTGGCATTTGGGTTAGCTTTCTTGTCCAAGAGAACCTTGGCAACTTTGTAATGGCCACAGTGGGCAGCCACATGCAGGGCGGTCAGGTAGTCATTGGTGACGTCGTCCACAGGCACGTTATGCTGGAGAAGAAGTTGGACGCAGTTTAGATGATCCCCTTGTGTGGCCATGTGCAGTGGAGACAATCCATTCTGGAACACATAAGGAAATCCAAAGTTATTGTTTCAACTTGTAATCACAACTGTGCCAAACACAAAGTTCAAATATGAACAGATGAAAACCCTAATTTTTCATATAGAAATGTCTTCTATTTTTAAAACACTGACAACTGTTCTGAATTACAGTTACTTTTAAAACCGGTCCTCCCACTTTTTTCAATTCATAACAAATTGTCAAGGGTAATTTCTTTTTCTGATTTAAAAATAGTGTGCATTGACCTAATTAATAAGGCCTACTATTTACTGAGGATACCCTGGGTGGCATGAACGGCTCAGTGCTCAGGTACTAACCAAAAGGTTGACAGTTCTGGTCCATCTAGAGGTACCTTGGAAGAAATGTCTGGCGATCTACTTCTGAGAGTTTAGTCACTAAACACTCTATGCACAGTTCTACTCTGAACACATAGGGTCACCATGAGTCGGAATCGACTCAATGGTAACTGGTTAGCTTTTCGTTATAATTTACAGAATTTCAATGAATTGGAATTTTTAAGACTGAAAAGGATAAACATAAAGGCAGGAACAGATATTTATTGATTAGATTGATATTTGTCTTTAAACATTACTAACACTTGACATGGAATAATATATTGATGCAATTAAAAAAAATTTCTGATTACAAGGCATTTCATCTCACATCAATGCAGAAAGGAAAATGTTTTCCTTTTCCATCAGTCTGGTGCCCCCATGTGTCTGTGATGAGGAAAGGCAAGTCATTGACCAACTCATTAACTAACGTTTGCCTAAGTTACATCAGCTAGGTTCAATGACACAGTTCATCATGTGCAATAAGAAATGAATCAAACATTCATTCAAAGAGCTGAGAGAAGAAATGAATGGAGTCAAGATAAATGAAACCTTAAAAAAGGTTAGAATGACATTTAGCATTCAATGCATGTTTCCTAAGGATGGTGGCAAAGCAAGGTATTAAGATGTCAGTCTTTTCAAGCATACTTGTTTTAACTATGAAGGCAAAGTGAGGGAATATAGAACATTCCTAGAGAATCCAATTTTCAAGAGAGTCTCTCATAACCTAAGTTATCATGTTTTGGGAAAAGAAAGTAATTTGACTGCAAATTCAGTTTCCAAAAAAGTTGTCGTCAATGAACTTTGAAAATAATGATACGTTAAATATGTGCTGATGAGACAGGTATTTCTGAATACTCCGGGCCAAGTTATTTCTCCATCAGTTACCTATGAATGACATAAAAGAGGAGTTTAAGACTCAAAACAAAAAAAAGTAAGCTTTCCTTTAGCTACTCTCATGGCATTATTAATGCACTGCCTTATAGTTTAACTATTTGTGTTCCTTGAAGGCAAGAGGTTCGTGGTTATAATTTCCCCATATTTCCCAGCAGAGAGCACTGTACGTGCAGAAAGAGCTTGATAAATATTTATATAAATGTAAATACTTCATACATTGTCAGTCAATCAAGATATTTCTATCTAAAAAATTCTCAAACATTTTGAACCAAAGTAGAAATGAAGGTGCAACAAAGGGTGGGCACATTTCCCATTTGAGATGCTGCCACCCATGACCATATGCACTGGTTTATTTCCTGCCAAAACATTCCTTTGCTTTGATACACTGTTAGAGGAAAACACAAAGTAAACAAAGAAACAAAATCTGAGAGAACAAAATCTGAGAAAACAAAATCTGAGGGAAAAACAGAAATGAGAGGCAGTATCAATAAAAGAAGGAAATTCTCTAACAATACACAAAATAAGGAAACACGGGTGGGAGATTTAAAATCATTGAGGAAGGACAAGAAGAGTAAAGAAAAAATTATCTTTCTTATGGAGAGGGGTCTTACGACATATAGCACCCTCATCAAGCTGAAAATATGGATGCAGGGTGACGAGCATTCTGAGTTCAGTGAAAGTTCTGAAGAACTGGATAGATTGTTTTCAAGCCAGGAACACATTCATTCACTTAATAGTCATCCAGAAATATTTACTGAACACCTCCTATGTAATGGGCACGGTTCTAGGTACTCGGGGCACTGCACTCTACAAGGCAACATTTCTGCTTTCATTCTACTGAAGAGAGCCAGACACCAAACAAGTAAACAAACTAAGAGATAATTTCAAGATGGTGTTAAGAGTTCTGAAGGAAATTAAATATGGTCAAATGATAGTGACTTCAGGGGGTGGTAATGGGGTAGAAGGGGTGGGTGTTCATAAAAGGCCCCTCTGAGAAGAAGACATTTGAACTGAGAAATGACTGGTGATAAGGGACTGCAGAGGTCTGGGACCAAACTGAGGAAACAAAGTGAGAACAAGCTTGGTGTAATTTAGGAATGAAAGAAGGCTGGTTGGCTAGAAGACAATGAACAAGGAGCAGAACAGGAAGAGATGAGGCAGAGAAGCAGTCAGATGCTGGTAAGGAGTTATTCCCAGTGCAGAGGGAAACATCTGGTTACACATAGTAGGTGGAACCTGTGTGTTTATCCCCCTTCTCTCCCAAAACATCACTAAAAACCAGCAAAGGACTTTAAAAGGTCAAATACACAAGGACATGGACACACACACACAGAGGAAAGGAAACAAAAACAGACAAGAAATGTCTACAAATTTTGGAAGATAAAGAGGATTTAAATGTGGTAACTAATCTAGCAGAAGAGGGAAAAATGAAACTGTCATGGATTGAACTATGTCCTCCCAAACTGTGTGTATCAATTTGGCTGGGACATGATTCCCAGTAGTGTGTGGTTGTCCTCCATTTTGTGCTTGTAATTTTATGTTAAAGAAGATTAGAGTGGGATTGTAACACCCTTACTAAGGTCACATCCCTGATCCAATGTAAAGGGAGTTTCCCTGGAGTGTGGCCTGCATTACCTTTTATCTTACAAGAGATAAAAGGAAAGAGAAGCAGAGAGTTGGGGACCTCAAACCACCAAGAAAGCAGTGCCAGGAGCAGAGCTTGTCCTTTGGACCCGGGGTCCCTCCGTGGAGAAGCTCCTAGTCACGGGGAAGATTGATGAGAAGGCCAACAGAGAGAGAAAACCTTCCCCTGGAGTGGACGCCCTGAATTTGGACTTTTGGCCTACTTTACTGTGAGGAAATAAACTTCTCTTTGTTAAGGCCACCCACTTGTGGTGTTTCTGTTATGGCAGCACTAGACAACTAAGACTGAAACTTAAGGATCTGTGGCATGCTGATAAATGTTTAACAATTGGCTCTCGAAATGAGGAAAGCACTGATGTAGCATTTGCCAATTTCTGTGGTGAAAATACTCCCACTAGGACCAACTTCAGCCTACCAATGTGCTTTACTGAACACGGAATTGGGAAGAGATGTATACAATCTGGCTCCAGCATACCACTTGGTACAAGAAATAAAGGCAAACTAATGAACCTCTAAAGTCCAAAAAGGTAGGCCAATATGGGGAACTAGTACCTTGAAGATAAAGATGAGGTTTTGGGCTGAAAGCAGAATTGGTCAGCGCCTATGTATGAAGCTGTTACGGGTCTATAGCCCCTTCCCAGCCTAGCAAAGACAATCCCCTCTTCTACCCTGCAGGAAGCTAGGAATTTAGTCTCTGGAAAGGTTGAACCAGAGAGAGTCTGTACCCAGGAAACCAGGACAGTCGTAAAGACCTGAACTGAGAAGAGGCAATCAGAAAAAAAAAAAAAGGACTCAGTAGTGGTTATTAGAGGTATGGTTTCTGTAGCTAGACTGGTTGGCTACAAATCTTTTTCTACCACTAGGTGAGATCTCTTTAGAAAGTTACTTTATCTCTTTGGGTCTCAATTTCCTCATTCATAAAAAGGAGATAATAAAAATAATCATAATAGTACCTCAGAGAGTTACTGTGAAGATTAAATGAGTTAGTATATGTAAAGTGCCTACAGCATGGTATGTAGCACTCATTAAGTAGATATTAGTTACCATCTTTGTAATTAAAGTATGCAAAGAGGACAGGGAGGCTGACAGGTCCCTTTCCTTGACCTGACCCAGAATGTATCTATGTATCTATACGGGTAGTCTGTAAGAGGTTGGAGGATTCTTCTCTGAACTGCCCAGAGAGAGGGCAACAAATTCTGACATCAGAGGACCCCTCTGACCCACCACCACCTGATCAATATAAGCCCTGTCTGCATTCTCACAGAGCTTCCGCTCAAATTTTAGTGCCTCGCATTTATGTCCATGTATAGACATTTGAGGAAAACCTCCAAGATGAATGACAAGGTCAAAGCAAACAAAGAGATAAAAGGAAATCTGACGAAATACATGAGAGGCAGAAGAAAGTTAAACTAAAAAAAATCTTGAATATTCTCAGGAAGGTAATAAAAGACATTGTATCGATAAAATAAGAACAGGATACTTTAAGAAAAGAGGCTATCAGAACAAAAAATTTTTCTTCGAAATTAAAAACACAAGAGGAAAAAAATCTCTCAGAAAAAGAATAGATAATGAAATGAGCAAGATGAGAGAAAAGATGAGACAACCCAAGAATAAATCCATAAGATCTGATAACCAACAGAAGTTCCATAAAAAAATGGAGGGCAGTAAATTGTCAAAGAAATACTACTGACAGTTAAATCTCACAGAATACTCAGCTAGTGAAAGAAAAAAGGCCACATTACAGCACATCAATATGAAATATCAGATTACCAGGGCTGAAGAGATCATATGCGATTACAGAGGGGCAAAAGGCCAAGGTGTCATCATATACAATGAAAAATTTGTGGGACACAGCAAAACAGCAGTATAATCCTGTGGAATAATACCTCCAATGGCTTACCAGTATAAACCCTGCATTTCAAATGAGTGATGGAATTGTTTAGATGACACTGATCCTGGGCAGCCTTCACTAGAGTTGTTGAGGAAGCACTGATCAGAATACAAACAGGAATAATATGGGCTTTCCTTATTTTGATAATGTTTAGCAGGTAAGGCTCTTTACAAAGCTTAGCATAGCTTCTAAAAATCACTGGTTTAATAAAAACAGTAATGACTAGCATGTAGTTTGTATATTTCAAACTTTATCCTAAAATATTCTTTTTCAAATAGTGTCAATTGGTTTTATCTTAAAAAAAAAAAAAAAAAAATTCCAAAAGACACTTCGTAAAACATTAACCTTTTCCAGGTAATCATCATGTATGCCTTTCAGATGTGTCAACTTTCCCAAAGGCTCAATCAAGATTCAATCTTTCCAAAGTTTCCAGTTTTTATCAGCTAAATAATATCTTTGGCCAATTTAATAGTCTGTGAACTCCCAAGAAATAAACTGAGGGGCTAGAGAAAGAGAGGTAGCATCCAGGACTTAAAGACTGTCTAGATCTTTCAGTCTTTCTTTCCCCAAAAAGCAATCAATTCTGAGCTGTAAACATTTCATAGAGTAAAATCAAACAATAAGTGTTCCTGAAACAAAACAAAAACTACAAAAAACACACACAACTTTGTGGTATATGCGTTACCCATAAAGACTTCATTAATCCAAATTTATTTGGAATTTACTCAAATTGCTAAATTAAAACTATGTCATTTTCAATATGATTTCAATAAGGCTGAGTTAAATAAAAAGTAAAAGGTTTCAAAGCTAAATACAGTCTAGTGTTCGAAAATCCAGGAAGAAAATTACCTTGGTTTTTGAAAGAATGGGGGCAGCTCGATCAAGTAACATTTCCACTACCTGCTCATGGCCACTCCTTGCTCCACAATGTAGCGGCGTCAGACCATCCTGTTGAACAAAATCAATGTCTTCTATTAGATGCCATGGTAAATTCTAGAACTGCAGTATATTTCTTCAAGAATCCAACATCCTGCAGAGCTGTGAGCTTCAAACATTTCTTCATATATCTCATAAAATAATTCCATATTTTTAGGTTGAGAACTACATTTTTTCATGTTGAAGTAGTTTCAAAGTGTGTCATTTCCCACACATCAGAATATTGACATTTAAAAATATCACGGTTCCATGATGCTTTTGAATATATCCAATGGAATTGAAACATTATAGTGTCTGATATCCACCATTTAAGAAATACATGAATAAAATTTTAAAATAGGAATCTGTAATAGAATTTTTACATTGTTTCTTTTTCTTCCTGCATTTCTATTTCCATTCCATCCCTCCATACAATTTTATCTGAATGTAATGTAACTTTATGTTTTTGATTACCATATCATATTTATTTGCCACAAAATTATATAAAGTTAAATTTAAGAAAAGTTTTAAAGATTTCCTAAGTACATAAGCCTCTAAGTGTCAAAAATAAATCCTCTGATCAGAATTATCATTAGAATTATTTGGATACGATTGATCAAAACAACAAAAATGTTACAATTTTTTTTATTATTAAACAAGAGCAAAATTTATTAACTAATTTATTTTCACGACTAGTTCATTTATCCGTTAATGAATACTACTTATTGTTAGAATGAGGCCAGGTTCAGTATCAATACAACCCAAAAACCAAACCCACTGCCGTCTGGTCAATTCCGACTAACAGTGACCCAGGAGGACAGAGTAGAAGTGCCCCGTAGGGTTTCCAAAGCTGTAAATCTTTACATAAACAGACTGCTACACCTTTTTCCTTCAGAGCAGCTGTTAGGTTCAAATTGCCAACCTTTCGGTTAGCAGCCAAAGTCTTGAACCGCTGCACTACCAGGGCTCCTCAGCATCGATACTATTCCTAACTTTTGTTTTTATAGATGTAACAGTTGAGAAAACTTATTTCCATTAATAAGCGGATGGACTTTTCTCAGAGCAGTGTTACTAATTCTCTGATCTCCTTCTGAGTTTTATGCCAACAATCACTTAACAGTCTTTTGTCAAAAATTCTTTTCAATGATCTATTATCGGACAACTTGATCAAGTCCTGCATTTTTTGTTGAAAGCAATGGACTTAAAACCATCTGAGGCAAAAGATTTGTTGCCCAATCATTTGAGTCTTGCAGTCATCAGGAACACCAATATTTTAACTCCCCCCCTCCCAAGGATGTTTTTGCATCCTGGAACCACGTGGGTGAAAGTTAGACCTTTCTTTAGGATGGAGGTGGGGGCGGGACGTAAGGAGGACTACTGTTAAAGGTGTAAAAATAAAAACATATACCAAACTCTTGAGATAATAACCTGTTCATAACTAACACACCTTGGGTTTATAGACCCTCCCTCCTGTGACCCACAGAGTGTTCGATGACTAGGGTAATGATTCCTTGTATTGTCTTCATGACTGTCAATAAGAGACTGTGATCACCAACTGGCTGCATGACTACTTTTATTTGAACATCCTTTATGCTATTTTACAAATAGTAAGCCTTCATTAAGTCTTTAACTTCCTTGTTCTTGCTATATAAACCCTTAACTTTTTTTTCCTGTTGTGGGAACTCCTTTTCTACTTTTAGTTTGGATGCTGGCAGGTTTTCGTTTGGTCCTGCTCAAGTAAACTGATTATAAATTAAAAATTTATCTTAGTCTCTGAAATTTTCTCTGACAAGGGATAGGTAGGAAGGAGAATCAGCAGGACCCCTAACTATGAGTCTCAGACAGAGAACACCTGGTAGTTGAGGAAATGGAAATTTATTCACTTAAAACTATCTAAATAGTCCCATTCCCTTTGGAGAAAGTCCCCCAATTTGAAGATTACTGAGCTTGACGCTTAATATCTACCCTAAGGATAATCACATTTTAAAATACATCAACATTTGATTCAGTGTATTCAAATTACTTCCTATATTATGTGAGATTCTGCAAGTAAGCGTAATTATTCTAATGTATAAGCAATAAGGTTATGACTGTATTTCTAAACTAGCCAAACCTCAGCAGTATTAAAATTCTTTAAAAAATGAAATTTGAGTTGTGAACATTACATGAGCTGATTTGAATATTCTTTGACCATGTTTAAATATTCTGCCTTTTATGCTGATTTAAAACATTTGCTTTTATAAATCAAAGTAATGCAATAAAAGCCTCTCAAGTAGAAAGAGTATTTTGCTAAAATAAATCTAGGAACAAATAAAAAACACCATCAAATCTGAATGTCTTCTCAGTAATATAAAACCTGAAAGAGAAATAATACAATAACCACAACCTACATGCCAACCACACACACACACAAATGTCACACAGATCCTGGAGTACAGTGATTGTCTTTAATGAATTAAATAAAAGGTCAAAATTTTTTCTTTCCTTTCTCTGAAATAGACTCTAAGAAGTAAGAGATGACTATGCTCACACGGATGAATAATTATTTTCTCCCAACTCATTTATCCTTGGGAAGTATCTTCCCCCAAGCAAAGCGCTGCACTTAGTTCAAAACATTTACATTTCGAACTAATTCCTTTGGCTTTGAAACGGGTGTGGTTTATTATGTACTTTCCTGGTTTGGTTGATAAAACGGTGCCCTGGTGGTGCAGTGGTTAAGAGCTGTGGCTGCTAACTAAAAAGTTCAGCAGTTCAAATCCACCAGCCACTTCTTGGAAACCATATGGGGCAGTTCGTTTCTGTCCTAGAGGGCTGCTATGAGCTGGAATTGACTTGACGGCAATGAGTTTGGTTAGGTTTTTTTTTTTTTTTTTGGCTGATAAAATGAGTCTACTCTTAAACAAAAGGGATAACAACAGGAATTCTTAATCAAATATGTAGGTCGAGCTAGATAAGAGCAAAATGAATCTCAACCATCAACATCTATATCCTTTGAAATATAGTTTTCTTACAGACATTTTCATTGATTATATCTTTTTAAGAAACATTTCATTATGGAAAATTTCAAACATATTTCAGACTAAAGTAGCCCAAATAGTGTAATGAGCCCCGATGCACAGAGCATTTGGCTTCAACAATTGCCACTTGGCCGATCTTGATTTATCGATATCCTGAACCTTTTCACCTTTATTATTTGGAAGCAAATCCAAGACATTTATATCATTTTATCCTTACAATCACCCCTAGAAGGAAGGCATATATAATTTTCATTTTATAAATGAAGAATCTAAGGTTCAAAGAGGTTAAATTATTCATCCAAGGCTGTGCAGGCTAAATACAGAACTACGCTGAAGCTACTGGTGCCTTCTTTGCAAGACAAATCAAGAGATGTCTTGGGAAGGGTTATTAAGATAAAACCTCTAGGCTCAAACTTGCAGCCACCCTTAGTCATTCTTTTACCTACATTCTGGAGCCACTACCTCTTTTTTTTATGTATTAAATTTAAAAAATTAGATTTGTTTATAAATGAAAATAAATTTGTTTATGTATTAAAATCCTACAGAATCTAAAGACTCTGTAAGGAGAAGTGATTCAAATTTTTTTTTATCAGTAGAAGAGCTGTGAAGTACTATAGTTCTAGCCATTGTTCCTTTAATCACCTTGCTTCAATGATGAAGTTTCCTAGTTCCCCAAGGTAAAACTCATCAGTTCTAGTTGAACTGCAAAGAGCTACGTGAAGCACAGTTTTTTCAGCTGTAGTTTTACTTGCAGTATTTGTAACACTGATTGCAAGTAGCTACAGAACCCTGGTGATGCAGTGATTAAGTACTTGGCTGCTAACTGAAAGGTCGGTGGTTTAAACCCACTAGTCACTCCACTGGAGAAAAATGTGGCAGTCAGCATCCGTAAAGATTGTTGTTGTTGTTAGGTGCTGCTGAGTCGGTTCCAACTCATAGTGACCCTATGAACAACAGAACGAATCACTGCCCAGTCCTGCGCCATCCTCACAGTCGTTGGTATGTTTGAGCCTACTGTTACAGCCACTTTGTCAATCCATCTTGTCGAGCGTCCTCCTCTTTTTCGCTGACCCTCTGCCTTACTGAGCATGATGTCCTTCTCCAGGGACTGGTCCCTCCTGATAATGTGTCCAAAGTACGTAAGACAAAGTCTCCCCATCCTCGCTTCCAAGGAGCACTCTAGCTATATTTCTTCCAAGACAGTCCATGGTATATTTTTCTGACAGTCCATGGTATATTCAATATTCTTCACCAACACCATAATTCAAAGGCATCAATTCTTCTTCATCTTCTTTATTCATTGTCTAGCTTTCGCATGCATATGAAGTAATTGAAAATGCCATAGCTTGGGTCAGGCACACCTTAGTCGTCAAGGTTACATCTTTGCTTTTCAACACTTTAAACAGGTCTCTTGCAGCAGATTTGATCTATTCAATACGTTGATTTCCTGACTGCTGCTTCCATCGGCATTGATTGTGGATCCAAGTAAAATGAAATCCTTGGCAACTTCAATCTTTTCTTCATTTATCATGATGTTGTTTATTGGTCCAGTTGTGAGGATTTTTTTTTTCTTTATGTTGAGGTGTAATCCATACTGAAGCCTGTAGTCTTTGATCTTTATCAGTAAATGCTTCAAGTCCTCTTCACTTTCAGCAAACAAGGTTGTGTCATCTGCGTAACGTAGGTTGTTACTGAGTCTTCGTCTGATCCTAATGCCACATTCTTCTTCATATAGTCCAGTTTCTTGGATTATTTACTCAGCATACAGATTGAATAAGTATGGTGAAAGGATACAAACCCTGACGCACACCTTTCCTGACTTTAAACCATGCAGTATCCCCTTCTTCTGTTCGAAGGGCTGTCTCTTTGTCTATGTACAGGTTCCTCATGAGCGCAATTAAGTGTTCTGGAATTCCCATTCTTTGCAATGTTACCCATAATTTGTTGTGATTCACACACTTGAATGCCTTTGCATAGTCAATAAAACATCTTCTCTACTTTCTGCCAAGATCCATC